CAGAGCCCGATGCAGGGCTCGAACTCACAAATCATGGGATCATGACCTAAGCCGAAGTCAGACGCTCAACCGACTGAGCCACACACAGGCGTCCCAACTACCACTTCTACTTTTTAAAGGGAATTAGTGTGTGGGTGTACACACATACATGTGTACACATACCTTTACAAATACACATACGCTATATATTCACTGCCTATTATGCCTCACTCTCAGCAGGGGAAAGATCACTGGGGATCAAAGGTGGAAAGAAAGCTCATTTTTCACTATACACTTCTGGTACAGTTTGAAACTTTTTTACCATATGCAAGAATTAGCTTTAAAAATAATACATGCAAAAAACTGCATACATATGTAATTACATACATGCACACATACATATATTCTGCAGCCTCACAGCCTTAGAGACAGGAATTAATCTTTTTATTTTGTATTAAACAAGAGAACTGACATATAAGGAAAAGGTACCCAAGGATTTTATAAAATGGTCAGAATTGCAGGAGCCTTAGCTCCCTGACCAAAGCACTCATCATTGCGGCTGGCAACTTTTCACAGTACCAGACAGTATAATATAAGAAGCCACTCACAGATCAGTATTTTCAAAGCTGTATTATGAATGAGCTGAACTATGGAGTTAGGTTTAAGAGGCTCATATGCCCTGTGGGCAACAGGCACAATAATTTTTGAATATGTATGAGCAAAAGAGATTGCTTTTTAATTCACCAAAACTATGGCAAACACAGAAAAGTGAGGAAAAATGGACCTAGCCTTCAATAGCAAGGTGCTAGTCCTGACAGATTAATGCAAAAAGGTAAACAATATTAAGGTGAGGACAGATAGAGAATCCAATCTCATTTTTGAAGAGGAAATGCAATTATGTTTTTCAAAGACACAGGTACAATAATCTCAGAAGTGGAAGGGACCTCAGGTGTCTGTCAATCTAATTAGCATGGTTAAGTCCTTTAGAGACAGTGGAGCCAGACTGCCTCAGTTTGAATCCTGACTCTGTCAATTATGCTATGATCCTGGAAATTAGTATATGTGCTGCCGAAGCGAGCACATATGATCCTGGAAATTATAGAGCTTCTTTGTGCTTTAGTTTCCACATCTATAAAATAATAATACAGGGTTTGTCTCATAGGGTTACTGTGAGGATCAAACTGAGGATCATGTAAAGCTTTTAGAATTATGCCTAGACTATAAACCACAGTTAACATGCAGTGTTACTTCTTATTAGGGTACAAAACAATGAATTTCTAATAACATGGGGAAATGACTATTAAAATGTTAAGTGAAAGAAGCATGAAACAAAACTACATTTGGAATATAATGATAAACTATTTTTAAAATACATTTTAAGAGTGGAAGGAAATGTAAGTAAAAAATATTAGCCAGGGGTGCCTGGGTGGCTCAGTTGGTTAACCGTCCGATTTCGGCTGAGGTCACAATCTCGCGGTTTGTGAGTTTGAGTCCTGTGTCAGGGGGGTGCTGACATCTGACATCTGACATCTCAGAGTCTGGAGCCTGCTTTGGATTCTGTGTCTCCCTCTCTCTCTGCCCCTCCCCTGCTCATGCTCTGTCTCTCTCTGTCTCTCAAAAATAAATAAATGTTTTTAAAAATTTTTAAAAATATATATTATCAGGGCACCTGAGCATCTGACTTTGGCTCAGGTCATGTTCTCACATTTCATGAGTTCCAGCCCTGTGTCAGGCTCTGTGCTGACAGCTCA